AGCGGGGTTGTGACGGGGAAACGGCACAGTGTGCGCGTCTCATGGGGATGCGATATCATATCCTCCCTTCCAGGAGCACTTTGGCTGCTTTCATATATATATGTAGATAGATGAGATCCATCATCAATGGGTTCTTGGGACAATTTTTAAACCCGTGTGAACATAATTGTTCGAATAGGCCACTCGATAATTCCCTCCAAGATTACTTCTTAAACACCGTCCTCCTGTCTTCAACTATGACTGTCTGGGAATCAATACTCGGGATTACGGGCTTCAAAAAGTCGTACAACTTTATCCTTTTCTTCATCTTTGCCGGAGGCCTGTTTGGCTTCACCCTCGCACGCCTGCAATACCTCGACATCACCGGACGTTATGCCAGCGGCACCGCTCCTGGTGAATGGTTCCACCAACACACTGGCTTCAGAAAGGTCGGCATCACCCTTCATCTAGGCACCATCCTTCCCTGTGCAATCCTCTTGATCTTCCAATTCATCCCCTCAATCCGACACCGAGCGACCCTCTTTCACCGCATCAACGGATATATCATCATCACTCTATTCCTCATCTCCAACGCTGGCGCCTTGATGATCGCCCGCCACGCTTTCGGCGGCGGGCACGATGTGCAACTAGCCATCGGCCTACTCGTGCTCATCAGCACCGCCAGCGTCGGCATGGCCTACTACAACATCCGCTGTCTGCAGATCGAACAGCACCGCGCCTGGATGCTGCGCGCCATGTTCTATATGGGAAGCATCGTGACCATCCGCCCTTTGCAGGAAATCACCTCCAGAATCATCAACAAGCTGGGCACGTACTACGCCGTCTGGTCGTGCGAGAAGATCGATTTCACTTGGAAGTTCTACAAGATCCCGGTCTCCTATCTAGTGGCGTACCCCATGTGTGCACCGCCGTCCAATGGCTCATCGCTGCCGCCTGGCTACGATCCGGTCGCTACCGTCAAGGCGGATGATAACGGCGTTGAGCCCGCGCAGATCGGTGCAAATCTTACCATGTCCTTCGGGCTTGCGCTGTGGCTTGCAATGTTTATGCATATCGTGGGTGTGGAGATATACCTGCAACTGACGCCACGGGAGAGCCAGCGACTGCGAATGGTGAGCTACGAGCGGCAGAAGGAGGCGGGGTATGCGAACCCTGGAAGCGCTGGGCTTGTTGTGCAGAAGTTTGGGGATGCGGAGCCCTGGGCTCCTTCAGTTGAAGCTGGTCAGCCTATTTAGGAAACATGCTAACAATTGAAATAAGGGAAATGAACCGAGATAGATTCACTTATATCCTCACATTTCAGGTAGCGGTTTTCATTGTTATTAGTGGCCATGTGTATTAAAATATTTGCCCAGTTTACTTTTTTAAAGTCTTCTTGTACTTTCTTTTTAAGTATTACATATTTCATTCATATCTGATATTTCATTAACGCTACTTTGGAACAAGAAACACCTTTTTTGTTTACAATCCAGATTTCCGTTCTGCCTTCATGAATTCTTAACTCCTAAGCTAACCGTTGGTACGCCTCAGAGTTTTGTTGGTCATGTATCTTGGGCATGTTAATTGGTACCCGATAATGTGATGGGAGTCAAACACAACTGTGGATGCTAAAAGAATACAGCGCATATTCAATTAAGAGTAATGGCAAGAGGAGGAAAAGTCAAGAAACGAAATTACAGAGAGGAAACTGAGATGTTGTTTTGAAAGAAGCAACCATTAGACATCTGAACGACTAGGCCGTCAAGTCCGTATCCGGTCCCTCATGTTGCCTTAGTCCTCTGACACCTCACCTTCTTTTGCAGAAGTCTGCTCTGCCTTCATTTTCTTTTCCCAAATCTCTCGATAAGCTTCGAGCGCTCTAACGAATCCATCAAGCAACTCCGCATTTATAACCATGGTTGGGTCTTTCCATACCCCTCCAAGCTCTGAGAGCACCCCTTGTGACAATTCCCTGGAGGGTCCGCTTTTCTGCAACGCTAGCCGCATAGATACAGCATAATGGAAATGGAGGAATCGCCAGTTGGGCCTGAAATCGCATCCAGGTCTGAAAATGAGTCTCCGCCCATTCAGCTCGTCGAATGTCATCTCCACTTTCACCCGCAGGTTCAAAATATTCGGGTCGAGGACGACAAACTTGTATTCGCAAGGGTGAGCTTCGATTGCATCTGGGACGATTGCAACCTTGTAGTCCTCGAAAGCAGATTTGAGAGCGGTTTGCAAGAAAAGCCCATTCTCTGCCCCTTGGATATTGCCATCGAATGTGTCCCCGAAAATCGTCGCCAGCTTCTCTTGCCCAATTTGGCGCGGGAAAATTTGTGCTGCACTCACGTCTGCCTTCTTAGCCCAACCCGTGATAGGGGACCAGACTTCGCCACCAGCTTCCGCAAGCCCGTACGCCCTTTCCATATGCGCCAAAAACCTCTCCTCCTCTTCCAACGTTAATTCTCCCAACAACAACATAAAAAGTTCCGTGGCGTTATCGTCTGTTTCTCATGCTGCGGCCCCGCTCAGAATGAGCCTCTTGTTCGACGGATTTTTGATGGAGGTGCCACAGTTCCCTTCCAAGTCGTTCCCGCTCTGAGACGAACAAACCTTGCTCCAAGTAATAGTGCCTTATCAGGTCGGAGTAGGCTGGGTCATTCTCATTGGTGCTTTTGTATTTCCTTGACAATACGCGCCAATCCAATTGGCTCAGTGCGAGTTTGATGTTGACCTCCCGCAAGCGAAAAGTCAGACAGTCAAAGCTTCCATATGGGGCTTCGGAATAGACATCGACAGCTGCCCTGAGCTTACCGTCGAGCTCATCTCGAAGTGCCATTTCTTCGGTGTTGAAGTCGTCTGGACTCAGTTGTCCTTCTATGGAGGATTCTCGGGGGATATCCTCCATGATTGATGAGGGGGGTAGATTCGCTATCACAACAGTAACAGTGCAGGGAGGGAAATTATCAGAACTCAATTCTTGAGTAATAAAAAAAAAATTGAAATTTGATGGTAGAAGTTGAAAAGATAGAAGAGAAGGAGCTTGGAGTATAAACAGGTATATCAAGGAGAAAGAGGAAGGAGAAGGTAGAAAGGTGGAGAATCTCCAACCTGATCTTTCCACCGTTTGAGCATTGTGCTCAAATGAACACTTCGTGAATTCACTGACAATTTAGCTCTGAGAAGCATCAACACTGACCCAAGTTTGGTATCGTTTATCTTCCTTCCGTGTTGTGGAGTGGAGAGTTGACTCTGCTGACTGAGCAAAATAGGACAGAATTCCGCTCTCCTTCTACTTCACCTTGAATTCCATAGGATTATGACCCAGAGAACAACCCTGATGGTTTTTCATATTCATAACAATAGCCCACCTCTTCATATTACTTCTCTTTCTCTCACTGTGTTGGAAAATGGAATAGACGAGGTAGTCGCTTCCTCCCTGATCCCAATGCGGTCGGTGCCTTTGTCTGAGAATATATAAAATTCGATTCCAATCCAGACTGGAAAGATAATAAATAGAATGTGCAAATGTCCTGGGGCTAATCAGTGCCTTGTCAACATGTAACCTTGAACCGCTCAAGTTCACAATGGATATCTTGTATGAAAGAAGTGGGCCTGCTTGGCTCCACTGCCATCAGAAGAAACCTGGGGAATGCAAAATATCCTCGAAAGAAGGACGGGTTTGTCCTTCAAATCAACACCCATTCCAAATCCAAAGTCTGGTTATCTGCATATACATATAAATCAACATCCTCTCAATACCCAACACTCATCTGTCAGGAAATCTTCAGATGCCTAACAAGTATCGCAATTATTCATTGTACATATGCGAATGAGCAATGATTAAATGGGGATGGCCTCATTGACTTTTCCATTCCACTCCACCGGAGTCCCGAGCAACCTGTGGACATCAAGAAAGGCCTAGGTTAATTCAAAAGCCTATTCAATGCACCAAACTCCAGGTAAAGAGCAGTAAATTCACATTAGGGGAAGGGATTACGCACTTCGATCCTCTCTTTGTAGCCCAGCACCCGCAAAAGATCGACGCTGGCCACAACACGATCTGTATTTCAGCAATAGAAGGCATTTTAAAACATGTGGTTAGATACGTGTTTGCGTGTGTCGTTAAAAATAACAAAACCATTCCATTCCATTGAAATGCCCTTCTTCTGGGTGCCAAACAATGGGGTGCTTTTGCTGGGTTAGATGGTATTTGCACGCACAGCACTTAGGACAGTCGTGAGAAAACCTATTTGTTTTTTTTTAAAAAATAAATAAATAAAAGTGTTAAAAATACTGATGGAGAAACACACAAATATGTCCTCCCCCCTCAAAAATACAGTATTTGATATAAATTCTTTGCTAATCATAGCAATTGAAGCGGCGGGGGACATCCATACCTAAAGTGGGACCAACAACTTTGCAGCGACACGGATTCTGGTCTGTTCCGCACTGGAAGCATAACGGAAATGGGATCCAAAACATTGTGGGAGGATCGGGGCAGGGTGATAAAGTATCAGGACTCTCCGGTTGTTCAATAAATATTTCATCTATATCGTCGTGAGTGCGCTCTCAAGAGACCATTTCCCTCCTAGTTTGAAACATCATATGGGACGCAAGCAAGCCAGAGACGGTAATTCTCCCCATATATACTCGTACCCAACGATTCCAACAACCTGGGAATGAATGGTCAGTATGACGTTGACGATTGGGAACCCGAAGCTTAAACTGCTTGGAACCCCCGTCTCACTATGATTTTGATGGCAAACATCTGGGGCGAAATCTGGTTTTCTCTAGGCGTTAGTTAAAGAACTTAGTGGTCTGATTGGCCATGCAGAAGATCTCCAGGCTACCAGGGCTACAAATCGAACTACGAGCTCACATATTGAGCACTTCCTAGTATATCTTTTTACTGTAGAGTAATGACATAAAGGGGATGAAAAAATTACAAATCACAGAAATTGGGAAAGAAAGACGTCCACTTTCGAACGGGTAACTATAAACTACGAGTAGCGAAATTTCCATCTGGCCGATCATGTCCCTTGAAACTTGAGAGCGAATCTAATACACATGTCTGAGCGTGTAGTCATTGAGGGCAGTTCACACTTCGTTATCTCGCCTATACAAAACACGGCCTCGCTCTATGCCGCATCCTTCTTTTCTCCACCAGCAGCCGCCTGCGGCCCCTCCTCATCCTCCTTTCGAATTCGTTCCCTCACCTCCATCAACGCCTTCCCAAGCAAATTCAACCCCCAATGCTTCCTTCTTGCGCCAGCATTTTTCGCCCCAAATCCTACACCCCATATCCGATCTCGCGGACTAGCCTCTACAAGCTCCCTATCCCCCGTGGCCAAAAGCTCCTCCTTGAGCTGCGGGTTCTGAGTGAATTTCAGGTAATTGCCTTCAACGACGATCGCATAGCGATGGGTCTTCCACACTGCGTCGTCGAAGTTGGGTATTTGCCGGCCTAGGCTTCTTAGATCTCGAGGATGGGGTGATGGAGAGTCTCGCGCGAGAATCTCCTGGGTGATAGGATCGTCTGGCGCGAAGAGGAGGCCCTTGCGGTGCATCATGAATCTAGATAAATATTTTTATAAAAAAAAAGAGGGCCATGGTCAAATTTTGAATCTCTGTCTCTTCGAATCATATATATATATATATATGTTTGTGGTTTTGTCTCTGGGGGCTGTAATTTTCTCACTGTTCAGCATTGTCATATTTGACGATTTCAACGTCGCCATGAGCGTCAGCGGCATTCCTGGCCCAAGTAAAATCCGACGTATACCATTGGCCCAGGTAGCCATTCTCTGATTCTGGTTTCCAAAAGTACACTGGTTCAGAGTCCATGGGACCCATTGTCGAGGTGTTTCTGGTCGGGATAAAGTGCACCGAAGGGAAGAATTGATTGTCTATACCAATACAAGTGTTCGAGGATTTCAAATTCTGGCAAGAAGGCCTCCTCGTAAAGGTCAAGGTCCAGGTCAGTCAAGAAGAAAGCCTTTTTAATGACACAAATGGGATGACAGAAACATGAGATAGTTGGCGATTCTTAAGAACATGGGTCCCTGGTCGGGCTTGACTCATCCCTGCTTCCCCAGGTCTAGGCACCCGTCCGCCTCAGAATGCTTAAGTTGTAGCTACCAAACCCCATGTAACCACTAGTTATCGGGCTGAAGGTTCCCACAAGCTCAAGCGACAGACAAAATCTATAAAAACATACAATCTTGTGGAAGGTTTTACCACTACGCCAAAGGGATATCAATCCTTAAGGTAGCCACCTACTCCTCAAGACATAGTTATATTTGTATATGCATGGTTCACAAAATCTGCCTCTCTGTCAGTATCAAGCCCGGTAAAAATGTTCAAAGAAGATACTTGATTTGACTACCCGAGGCCCTGCGCATGATCATTTCTTTCATTTCTTGCGTTTTCGTGATTTGCTCAGTCACATTTACTGACTCATCGACGCGGGATAGTTCGATCTGTGGCTGTGTGATGTCAAATACCCCTGACACCCACAGTATCATGTTTCCACTACAGCGTAATCCTGGCTGCCGCAAGCCACTGCTATGACGTCGGGTGAGCAAGATTCGCGGGCTGCAGAAATATACAACAGGCGTTGACTAAAGCGTTTTCGGCGAGAGGAGCATTTTTATGTGTGCCTTTCCCGGCGTCGCATCGCCAGGTGGGAAACACAGAATGTTAACAATAGTCTGGACCAGGATCCCTTCAATCAATGATGTTTCACGCAAAATCCCCTAGCCGTATATCCACCTTTTGCGTCCACTAACAGACGAACCGTGCAAAAGTACGAAGGCTGAGAACGGATGTAGAATATGACTGGTTCACTGGCTGGGACCTTTCCTCATCAGTTAGCATTACCTTAGGCGGTGCTGGCTTTACCAGCCCAATAGCGCCCGACCTAGAAGGTTGAAGCAGGCTACTAAGAATTCCTGAGCAACACTTTGAAAGGAGCTGCGTGTTCATATTTATCAAGTTGGAAGTGCCACTTTTCGCTCGCTATTTTATTTTTCGTTGTTCTTCGCCTGTCTCCATCACCGCTCGCTCATTCCTCATAATCATTTAACACCCAAATTCCAACCACCTCACTCTTTCCTTTCTCTTTCATCAGTATTGTTCATTATCCACTCCCATCCAGACAAGTATCGCATTCATTCTACTCTCCCCGGGTCCCCGTCCTGCCCCGATATCAAATAACCTCAGTCAATCAAACCCCATTGTTTGATCTGGTTTCTCATCTTGATGTGATTTCTTGCATTTCTCCACATTTAATACCGCGCTGGCACGCGGCACCAGCGCGTGTCCATTGCTCATCATTTGATTATTGACTGAGCCTTCGGCCCTTCAGACCAGCGCCAACGTTAATAACACCCACGCGCACCAACAAATATCCAGTGAGCTAGCAAAATAAAATCAGAGGAAAGAAGAAGAAGAAGAAGAAGAAGAAGAAGAAGAAGAAGAAGAAGAAGAGAAAAGAATCTGAAGGGGTGGGGAAATAACAACCGGACAAGCCCAATGGAATCAAATCGACTAATCCCGCTCCTGATTCTGTTGTTCGTCGTTGCCATCCTAGCCGTCGTTGGCTTCGTGGCCTGGAACATCATGATGGCCGTCACGGCGCAGACGAAGAAGGAAATGGAAAAGAAAAACGTTTCGATGTCGCGGGATGGGATGACGGTTGGCGTCAGGGAGCTGAATGACGAGGAGTATAAGGATATTAGTCAGGGGTATGTATATCTTTTCTCCCGTTTGGCATCTTTTTTATTTTCTCCTCTTCCAGCTGGAGTTGTAAAAAGGGTGTATATACCTTTTTTTCAAAGTTGCACTTCCTCCTTTCCCCCTTTCACATAAAACAATGCATCAGTTCATCAACCTGCCGTCTGATCTTACTTAATTTAACTATACATATCACCTTTCTAACATTCTTTACTAGTGTCCTGGTCACCATCTGGAATTACAGTTCGTTCCCCGCCTACAAGAGACGCTGGTGGAATGGCGGCAGCGACGGCAGCAGCAGCTGAACTGGGTCAGAAAGAAAAGAAGAATGATGAATTATGGGGGGGAAATCGTTTGTAAAGTCGACCCCCTTCTTCTTTATATTGTTGTTTCTCATATTGGTATGCTGCAAGTGACTACGGTAACCAACATCACTATATTTTATATGTCAATGTGGATGTCATTCTTCTACTACACTTTTTTTTTTGGTATGACTGTTGTATATATATATATATATATATATATATAGCTAACATATCCTCACACAGTTGCCACAAATATGCTTGCCCCAGCCCTCCCCACCACTTTCCCCCTTTCGGCAATGTACTCGAGTTGTTTACCCCCTAAGTGTCAACCTGTACACCCCTACACGCGTCAATGACGATTATGATGCTGTAACTTCTTTGTGGAATTTCCAATATATGATATCCGTTTACTCTTTTTTTACCTTTCTTTTCTTTTTATTTTAACTTGTACTTTTCACATAGGCAGTGTTTATTTCGTAAACCCTTGACACTATTTGTCGGAACTAGATAAAGTCCGAATATTGACCCAAATACTGAATATCAAAAGAATAATTGAATTTCTTCTATTAACTCCAGTAATTACATGATATCTAGGCAGTATTTATAAGAAAGAAGATGCTTGAACATATGATAGGGACAGTGCTGATATCTTATCAGAACATCCATCCGGTTTCCGATATTGTCACAATAGAAGCTCCTTGCCAATGTAATCAGTAGAATCTGAGATATGATATATCACTTCTGACATACCCCCTTCAGCAGAATAACATCAGTAATGAAGCTGGATAAATTACCAGAATAGGAAAGAATGTAGAAGACATAGTGATTAATAGAATGAAACAGAATAGATAAAGGAGATATATGAGGATGTTGAATTCCTCCTGTCCAAGCTCGTTGAGTTTTTATACCTTATTTTGTTATTTTATTGACAAGATCAGTTATATCAACTAATCCTATCTGTTTGATAAATTCCCTCTGCTTCTGTTGTGATAATGGCTTGGTCAACCCGTCCGCTGGCATGCTGGTTGTAGGCGTCCATCGCACCGAGATATCGCCGGATTGTATCCGTTCTCGCAACCAGTTGCCGTAGATATCAACGTGGCGTAATTTGGTTGTGATGGAAGGATCTTCCTTAGTAAGGATGCCAACTGTTTGTCGATTGTCGCATTGAATTGAGATCTTGTGCCCTGGATCGAATCCCAGATGATCAAAGAATCGTTTCCACCAGATTGACTCTTTGCCTGCCTGTGATATAGCTAGTAGTTCAGCTTCGGTGGTGGAAGTTGTTATTATTCTCTGCCTCTTTGACTTCCAATCAACAGGTCCTTCAAAAAGTTTGAAGATGTAACCTTCTGTTGATCTTCTTTCTGAATTATCCGCGAAGGAGGCATCACTAGCTGCTTCAACCACATTCATTGATAAGCCATCGCTATCAGGTAACGTAATCAACCACTCAACGCCCGTCTACACTCAACGCCCGCTATTTTGCCACCACTACAATGAAATCTTTTCATTAATATCTCAACAACGCAATTAGATTTTAATATGATATATTATATGATGAAAATATATATAGAAAATTACATATAAAAATATATAGCTAATTCAAAAGATGTTTGTTGGGCTTAATAACTCGCCCGGAACGCGAAATCTTGGGTGGAGGCAGATTCAATGAGCAGGCAGCGGTCAAATCCGTAGGGGTTGCAATATCATCCGGACCCCCCGGCGGCGGACCCGCGGGCAACCTGGCAGAGCTCTGAAAACGCGATTTAGCCACTCTTTGCGAAATCGAGGGTCTGATTTCCCGATTAGGAAGGTGATTTTTGGACCCCCGAACCTGGACCCCCCACAACCGCGATTGCTGCCGCGCAGCAGCTCGTTCTTCCTTTTCCTTTTGCTCTTGGGCCTTCTTTGCATCCCTAAGCTCCCTGTCAATCTGCCGTTGAGCGGCTCTTGCGGGCTTATCCATCTCCTTTTGCTCCTTAGCTGCCTGGCGAGCTGCCTCCCGCT